ATCAAATCAAATCAAATTATATATTTAGCCACAAACTATACATGTAAAAATGGATATTTATAATTAACATTAGTTGAAATTACAGTTTATGGCAGGGAGACGGAACTAGCCGAAACTGTTTTCAGTCGGTCTCCCGTACAATCAGTCTTTAATAAAAAATTTAACTTGAAAAGTTTCAAAAAAATATATTTAGGAAGGTTGGTGTTCCTGGCAGAGAAAGGTGAGGGTTCCTTTAAGAAGTCTGGAGGCTAAAAATTAGCATTTGAAATAAAAGATATGATTCCTGGCTGAAAAGATCCACAGGCTGGTCAAGCGAGAAACAAAGCTATAATTGAGAATTAATTAAGTATTTGAGCAGCTGAAACAATAAAGTTTATCACATCTAAAGTCTAAATATTTATCAAGCAAGAATTTTTTAACACTAAGTTTAAACCCAAGCTTGCTCTCAATTTGTTTAATATAATACATGAGTTATTTAATGATTAACATGATTAAGATTAATGATCAAATAACATGAGTAATCAAATAACAAACTAATGTTATTTGATGATAACAAATCTCAATTACTTAACGCTTCATATATTTATCATTTTAACCATTAAAGTTTTAATTTTCAGAAACTCGTCTTATTTCAAGTTTTCAAGATTTTAAAGTACTTGGCAGGGTGTCTAAAAAAGTACAGATTTTGTCACAAAGTTATCAAAAAATGTCGGAAAATTATTATTTTGCGTGAAAACATATGAAAGTTAATTACAATTTATAGCAATTCAATACCTGATAATAATTTTTTATAGATATTAGCTTTAAAATGGATACATAGTACATTTACAGTTAGAGGTTCCAACATGTTTTAAACATATAAAACACTTGTAAATATGACTAATTGCACTAACGTAATACTGCTTTACATGTTTTATGAATAAAGTTTTAACAAAAATAAAAAATATTCAACATTTTCCATCATTTTCTGCTTGATTTAAACATTAAACAACTCTGGCCTATGAATCCAGATAAACAAAGATGATATTTTTCTGTTGAAATTACTGAACCATTTTATATCAAAGAAATAACATTTAAACCAGTATTTCTGTTTAATATAAATATATATACCCAGAATAACATTTATTGAAATATTTCTGTGTTATTCTTTAGTATTTTCAAAGTTTAAAGTTTTCTAATTTTGCATATTTTTACATTAATTGTTCCCCTGTTCATTGTACTTGTGCAAATAATACTTATACAGTTATAAAGTAGAAACAAACAGTAAAATGCAATTAGGGTTTTAAACCTTATAATAGCATAGCTAAACTAATTTTCTGTTTTAGCATTTAAAGGGATTAACAACAAAATCTTAATAGCGCTAAACCCGCTAATTTTCTGTTTTAGCATTTAAAGAGATTATCAATAAAATCTTAATAGCGCTAAACCCGAGATTTTTCTGTTTTAGCATTTAAAGGGACTAACAACGAAATCTTAATAGCACTAAACCCGCTAATTTTCTGTTTTAGTATTTAAAGGGACTAACAACGTAATCTTAATAGCTCTAAACCCGAGATTTTTCTGTTTTAGCATTTAAAGGGACTAACAACGAAATCTTAATAGCGCTAAACACGCGATTTTTCTGTTTTAGCATTGAAAAGAGACTAACAACAAAATCTCAATAGTGCTAAACACGCGATTTTTCTGTTTTAGCATTTAAAGGAATTAACAACGAAATCTTAATAGCGTTAAACCCGAGATTTTTCTGTTTTAGCATTTAAAGGGATTAACAACGAAATCTTAATAGCGTTAAACCCGAGATTTTTCTGTTTTAGCATTTAAAGGGATTAACAACGAAATCTTAATAGCGCTAAACCCGAGATTTTTCTGTTTTAGCATTTAAAGGGATTAACAACGAAACCTAAATTGTGCTATTTGTACAGTTTATACCTTCATCTTGACAACATCAAGGCCGGTTTCTATCTTGAAAAGTGTGCTACTTTAAATGGCGGGTCGTTAGAAATTAAATTTTAGTCCTTTTAAAATGGCTTCGTCTCGTCGATTTTTCTAAAAATACAATTCTAAATATACAATTTAATTTTAACAAGAAACAACTAGAGTTAATTTGTTAAATTGATTAAAAATCAGTTTATACATTTTATGATCTTTTTAAAGATAAAATTTCTTTGTGTGTTTAGTACATTGTCTGTTGTAATCCTAGCTAGGGTGATATTACAAAAGTTTTATTACAAAATTACCATCATAAACTGATAGAAATAGAAGTAGATTAGGAAGTAGTTCAAGATTAGGAAATTGGTTCAGGATTTTCCCCTGGTTA